ACACCCAAGATCTTAATATCATCTGATGTATGTCATTGACGTAAATCAAAAAGAGCAAAGGTCCCAAGACTGAGCCCTAAGGTACCCCACCTCTGACTTTAATCCAGTTTGACTGAACTCAGTTTGTAATAACCCTCTGCTTTCTTCCATCCAGCCACTCTTCTATCCAATTTGCTAACTTATCCACCACACCTATAGAGCTAATTTTTTTTTACAAGCCTCTTATGTGGCACCTTGGTTAAAGTAAGATTTAGTAAGTATATGGGTAATTTGATTTCCTGGTTGATAATCATATGTGGTAACATAACTTTTTTTTCTGGAATGAAGGATTCAGAGTATGTGCTGTTTCATCACCAAAACACCATTATTAACAGTGAATTCACTTTGTTTTCAAATTTCCATGGTAAGTGATTACCATAACATTATAACTAGTAGATGAAGTTCTCAAAACTCCAACTATGAGTAAAATATATGAATTGTTAGTGTGAAATATTCTGAATCCTTCATTCCAGAAGAAAAGTCATGTTATCACCTATGATTATCAACCAGGTAATCAAATTACCACATACATCTAGTACAACAAGTAAGTCAGATTACCACATGCATCTAGTACAACAATTAAGTCAGATTACCACATGCATTTAGTACAACAAGTAAGTGAGATTACCACATGCATCTAGTACAAGTAAGTCAGATTACCACATGCGTTTAGTACAACAGTTAAGTCAGATTACCACATGCGTTTAGTACAACAAGTAAGTCAGATTACCACATGCATCTAGTAAAAGTAAGTCAGATTACCACATGTGTCTAGTACAACAAGTCAGATTACCACATGCATTTAGTACAACAAGTAAGTCAGATTACCACATGCGTCTAGTACAATAAGTAAGTCAGATTACCACATGCATTTAGTACAACAAGTAAGTCAGATTACCACATGCGTCTAGTACAATAAGTAAGTCAGATTACCACATGCATTTAGTACAACAAGTAAGTCAGATTACCACGTGCGTCTAGTACAACCAAATAAGTCAATTACCATATACATCTGGTCCATCAGGTAAGTTGAATTATCATATGAATATGGAAATTATTAGACATGTTTGTAAATATAAGAATGTTGAGATGCACTTGGTTCAACTGGTGTTTATTTTTTATCAAGGACAGTATATAAATGTAAATATGTTGAGATATACTTAGTTCAACTGGTGTTGATTTTTATCACTGCATCTTTCTTTAAATTATTAACAATTTTGGAGTTTAAACATAGCCTTTCTGTAACAGAATACGTTGTTGATTGTTGACATAATCCTCAGAAATACATTTCTAGATTGAGAGTGGAACTGCTGCTGCTCAAAAGATCACTAACAAGACTGTGGATGATGTGGAAGCTTTGAAAGAAAAGTTAGGTGACCTGAAGAAAAAGTTTGTACAGAATGAAATTGATGCACAGACAGCTACTCGAGAAACAGCAGTTGCTGACAGACTGGCCAAAGAAGCAGAAGAGGTAAAAAAATTATGTTTTTGCATTTCATAAGGTAAACAGTACCCCAGATCTTCATGCCTTCAACTGTCAGAGTGTTAATTATCTGAAGTTCAAGTGTCAGAGTGTTAACTATCTGAAGTTCAACTGTCAGAGTGTTAACTATCTGAAGTTCAACTGCCAGAGTGTTAAACTATCTGTAGTTCAACTGTCACAGCTAGTTAACTGAACATACAAAAAAGAAGAGAAGAAATATTGACTATCATTCAAAATTTACTATTTGCATTTCCAAGAAATGTGGGAAGCTTTCAGTAAAATGTACAAGTCTGTTGTTTACAAAATATCAGATGAGTTACTGAGGTATTTGTAATCAAAATCTCTGTGAATTGATGATGTTAGTTTGATTCAGACTCTGACAAGTGAGAGTGCAAGGTGATGCTCAAATGAAGAATAAAAATAATTTTGTTCATTGTACAGTTTACGTATTGTGTAACTTTTATTTCCAGTATCCCAGTATGCTGTATTTGGTATTTACTAACCTTTACCACAAACTGTTTCTAAATCAGCAATGTAGGGTAAAAATGAATAGTTGATAACCCTGACATCAAATACATGATACAATGTTGAATGTTTATGGCTTGCTCACTTTGATACCCACCTGAGCAAATATGGTTAATGAGCAGCTTTTATTGGTCACTAGTCACCTTACCTGAAGCATACAAGTGACCAAGAACTATTTCTGTCAGGCTGAAGTACATTAGCACTATAAGATCCTGCTGTAGGTCAGCGGTACTGATATATAAAAAACATCATCGGGAAATATTGCAAGTATATTACTCAGTACTTACTTAGTTTGATTTTAGTTTAATATTAATGGTAAATTATTTTATAAATACTTGCAATGAAATGTTTCCTACATTTACTGGTGTAATATCACTAGAAAATTACTACAGTGTTTCCTACATTTACTGTTGTAATATCACTACAGAATTACTACAGTGTTTCCTACAATTACTGGTGTAATATCACTAGAAAATTACTAAAGTGTTTCCAACATTTACTGTTGTAATATCGCTACATAATTACTACAGTGTTTCCTACATTTACTGGTGTAACATCACTACAAAATTACTACAGTGTTTCCTACATTTACTGGTGTAATGTCACTACAAATTTACTAGTGTTTTCTACATTTACTGGTGTAATGTCACTACAAAATTACTACAGTGTTTCTTACACATACTATTGTAATATCACTACAAAATTGCTACAGTGTTTCCTACACATACTGGTGTAATATCACTACATAATTACTACAGTGTTTCCTACATTTACTGGTGTAACATCACTCCAAAATTACTACAGTGTTTCCTACACATACTGGTGTAATATCACTACAAAATTACTACAGTGTTTCCTACACTTACTGGTATAATGTCACTACAAAATTACTACAGTGTTTCTTACACATACTATTGTAATATCACTACAAAATTACTACAGTGTTTCCTACACATACTGGTGTAATATCACTACAAAATTACTACAGTGTTTCCTACACTTACTGGTATAATGTCACTACAAAATTAGTACAGTGTTACCTACATTTACTGGTGTAATGTCACTACAAAATTAGTACAGTGTTACCTACATGTACTGGTGTAATGTCACTATAATTCCAAAACATGCTTACCTCTTCTCACATTTATAGATATTACTCAACCGCCAGGGTTTCATTTTTGCCCATCTAAGCATTGGTCTGATTTTTTCTCACTTGCTCCAGTCTTTTATACCCCACTCAATTGCTCTTGGTGATATATGTATCGTGACACTCTCCACCTACATCAATTCATCTTCTATCCTGTTATTGTATATAAGCACCTCATTCAGATAATTTTATCAGTTTTTTTTGACAAGCATCACTAACAGGTTTACCAGTATCATGATCATTCAGAGATACTTTGAACATTATCATGTTATCTAGTTAATTGCATAATGCCCCCCCCCAGTGGCACAGTGGTATGTCTTACAATGCTAGAAACCAGGTTTCAATACTCGTGGTGGGCAGAGCACAAATAGCCCATTGTACAGCTTTTGCTTAACTTCAAACAAACAAATTTCGTAACAATAATAATAATTTCAAAAAAAAGTTTTCTTCCAATTGGTAAGCTGTTATGGTATGTATTCCTGGATTATTATTTCCAGCACGGAGGCTAATTGGGTCTCTCTCCTCCCACCTCTGATATCTAGTGTTGCACAACAATCGTGGGTTGGGGGTGGGGGTATTTACTCTTAATTGAGACTGTCAGTGATCTTATTTGTAGTGAGATGGAGACATATAATTGGATCTGTGGTGGTCCTCCGGAGGGCTCTGAAGCTGCATTTGAGAGCAATCCTCCAAATTTTGGAGAGACTTTAGATTCCTGTGCCTTCTGTTAGTCTGAATTTTCAGCCCTCTGTAGGTCAGTGGTAAATTTAATGGCTTGCAGTGCCGGGGTTTGATTCCTTAGGGTGGACGTGGCAGATGGTCTGCAGTTGTGTTGGTCTAACAAACCAACTTTCTTTACCTTACAAGATCCTGTTACAATCTATGATAATTACCACGGTCTTTAAATGACTTATCAAAAACGAAAAGGAGGCCACTTTGGGATAGCTGCCTTTGATTTGTTTTTTTTCTGTTGGTTCTTTGATTGTTTGATGTTTTGTGCTTTTCCCAGTTGCTTTTGAACATGCAACTTACCTACTTGATGGCTGAAAGGTCAGGGAGTGAAGTCTTTTTTTGCTCAATACATAGAAGTTATGGTTCATGCTGAAAAGTTTACTTCTTAGTTATGTGAAGGAACAGATAAGCGTTATCCGACAGTCGGAACTTTGTGATATCGCCTACCACCAACAGGTGGAGGCATTTTTCCGACAGTCAAATAATTTCTGCTCATCGAATTTTGGAGTTCTAAGGCGGAGTTTATAGTTCACCTATATAGATCTATTTCCCCTGGTGGGACAGTAAGTCTACTGCCTTACAATTCACCTTCAAATGTTTGTTTCCTTTCACTTCTCTTTGTTAGAAGACTCTCAGGATCAGTTTCATTGATGATGAGCTGGATCCATTATTAGTATGCACATTGGTTCAGTTTTCGGTTTCTACATTCCTCCGGATTGTTGTTGGAGTTTCGAATTTCATCGATTCCTATAGGAAGGACAGTTCCTTCCCTATTCGTGAGTACCAACCCCCGACATCAGCTCCTTGGTACAATGATACTTTGAATAGATTTTGTCTATATCCAAGGTTTCCACTGCATAGTCGAATTGGTAGCAGTGTCAGTGATTATTGTATACCTTCAGCTAGCGTGAGGGCTCGGTTTTAAGATTTTTCTGGACGTGTTTTAATCTTACTCGTCAATACAGAAGCTCTGCAGGTCCTTGAATCACAATTGGTCATTCAGTTCACATCTTCCCCACTATTATCCACCCAACCAGTTGGTTTTCCATTTCCCACAGTTCAGTTTTATTCCTGTTAGTTGTTGGGTCTATGAAAACAGGAGATTGGTGTCCAGTCATCGATATTCCATGTTTATATCAATACATAGATTCTTAAAGGTTCACTAGTTAATCATTCCTCAATCTGTGTTGATTTTTTACTGGGATTGTAGATGTCCAACTTGGTTGTAGTTGGCTCCTATCTGCACTTTGCCTTAGTGGTGGAGTTCCACCACTATCGGCGTTTGTGGTGCACAAAGGTCAGGTACTGCAGTTCCGAGTTTTCCTTCGCCCTTGCATTGGCTTAGTATGGGTTCTGCTGTATCATACGGGTTTTCTCTTCCCTTTCATTCCATTGTATTGTGCACAACCATTCCTTGTACGACTGGTTACTGCTGGCAACATCTCATCAATTGTTAGACCATCACACCCTGCTTCTGCTTTCAGAAACAACCCAAGCAGGCTTCTCTTCTGGGTGTGCAACATCTATTCTTGTTCCAATTCAATATGTCATTAGTCTTGGTATTTTTATTCATTATTTTTCATCTCATCTCTCAGTCGGGCTCAGCTGTCTCCCAACCTGCTTTAAACTATAGAATATAATGCCATACTCTCACCTCTCCTTTTCCCATTGCATGCTTGGTTTTTTCTCTTCTGAGAATGTGGGCATCACTCAAATCCATCGTGACTTTGGGATAACAAAAGTGATCCTTTTATTGGTCTTTAAGTGACCAGGGATTGTACACATCTATTTCCTGATTCCCTCAGTTTCTGTATTTGGGATCATTCTTTGATGTCGAGGGGGTGGAATAGTACTACAAATTGGGTTCCTCTACTTCTACCTCATCAAAAGTTCCATTCAGGGAAGGGGTAGATATACCAACAGTCAGGAAATACAGAATATGCATGGACAACGAGGATTCCCTACACATAGTTTTGTCCTTCTTGCTCTTCAACAGGCAAGGTCTCATGGTCTGGGATTGTTAAGGAGTAAATCATCAGGTTTCACTCTGACTATTCTCCAGTAGTGTCTTATGTTTCATTAAGGAGGCATTTGGTCTAGGGCTCCCTATTTTCGAATTTTGGACCTCCTTTCTCGGAACTAACCTTATCTTCTTACCCTTTTAGATTGCCATGTTCCATGGGTGATGCCTGTGTTAGCAGGTCCACTGTCTCAATCCAAACAGAATATCCTGACAGAATCAATGTTACATCGGAAGGCTCAGTTGGATTGCCTCTCATTTTGCAACTTGAATTGGTGGGTTGGCCTCTCATTGGATCACCCAACTACTGGGAACTTGGTCTACAGTACCCCATCTTTAGGCCTTGAAAATAGATGCTCTCCATCTGGACAGGATAGGATTACCACCCTCAAACTTCTTTCATATGTTACCCAGAATATGAAATATGATTTGTTACAACCCATTGTCAGATCCTGTTGATCACACTAGTTTTTCTGCTTCTGCGGTCCCTTCCACTGTGTCTAACTCCTTCTTTTATTTTTAAGATATGGCACACCAGGCTATCCAGAAGCACGAGCTTCTAGCATAGAGGTTATGCTGTCTTTCACACGGCATTGGAGCTTATTTTCTAAGACTGATATGTATCTGTCTCATTTTCTGCTTAGTCCAAAAGTCACTTTTCTCAAAGGTAATGCTATGCATATCGGAAATGTTGCATTGAGAGGAGGTTGAACCCTTTTTGATCAGTGGTGTCAATCATAACTCGTTTTTGAATTGGCTCTTTAATAGAGGTTTTTGCATTATCCACAATCGCCGTTGTTTATGGTGGCCTTATCAACTACTGTTCAATTATCACAACTACACATATTTTAGTCCCTACTACTCTCCAGATTCCTCACATCGTTTTGGTTAATTGGTCCCAAAAGACCATTCCAGTTACGTAGTAGGTAGATTCAGGTTATGAGTTCTTTCTCTACACCTGTTTGTGACCTGACTCTTATATGCCATCCATCCCCTTTATCTGCAGGTTTATTTTTCATGTCTGCTGACATACAGACATCATCAGCTGGGGTGATTTGTGCAGTTTGTCCACAGACCACTTTCTCACTCTCTCTACATCTTCAGACCAGTTCTTCTTACCCAACACTCTGTCAGAATGGAAGGGGTTCAATACTTTTCTCCAGTTCATCTGCTCACACATTTTCCCTCTATGTCCCATCAGAATTTGATCTTGGGCATGTTCAGTGAGGGCCTTGAAGGTTTTAGAGATACTAGACAACACTTTATTCTAGGCTTTCTTTGAAGGCGAGTTATCTTCTGTGAGTCACATCTAATCAGATTTCTCTTTTCTATGTCCTTAGAAGCCCAGTCAAATTGCCTGTTGGAAGTCACTATGCAGACTGGTACATGGACCTCCCCCAGTACCTTTATCTTGTATTATTTGCCTGATCTGGTAGTCTCTTCATCTGAGGGGTTTTGTCCACCCCCCTGTAACTATATTAACTGTTTCTGCTAGATTATCCAGAGAGGTGAGTATCTTTATTTCTACCTTTCAGGGTCCCCTAACTTGTTTTTGCAGGATCCCACTCTGTGGTGAGTATTGCCCAGACAGGTGTGCTTTTATCAAACACATTCCACACTAACAGCCACTACTTCACTATAATTACTACTGGTTGCAACAGACTCTGTAGAAATGAGGTGTTACATAAGACCACCTAGGAGCTCACCAGGTGGTATTACCATACTATGTTGGACTGCCACCCATGGAATAACATGAGTAAAGCTAATGGGGATCCTGCCCATCCCTGCCAATCATCAGATTGGATAAATTGGGGTAGGTTTACTTTTAAAAATTTAGGGAACTTGATCCACCTATTGCACTGTTTCCAGAGCACTGTTCCTCAGGGATCTCTAATGTGCATTACCCCCCGATATTTTACTAGTGCAGCAAGGGGGTCCTTACTACTCCTGGTTTCCAGTTTCTGGGGTGGTGGACAGGGAAAAATGGGCGAAGTTGGGGGCTCTCCTACCTGAGACCCTGGATGTTTTTTCCCAGAGGTCAGTAGAAGCAGGATTAGTCTATAGGGGAGCCTACTCATAATACCAGTTCAGATTTGATGCTTGGTTATCTGGTTCAAGTGTGCATGGCCCTTCTTTTTGATCAATATTGGTTCAATATATTGTTTATGGAAGTTGTTCCATGTCCTCCCCATAATTCCAGGGGCAAGTGGTAGGCTTCTTTCCCACTCAGGTGGGGAGTGAGGATGAATATTCATACTTCCAGACTGGATGGTTTCTACTCCTTTGGTTGAGTAAGGCATACACAATTCCATCATTCCAAGCCTGGGATATTGCCTTTGGGGCTTCTTTAGGTGGAGAAGGTTTGTCTGCTTCAGTGTTGCTTGCTTTCTCATTGTGATTCTGGTGGTTCTGAATGCATCACTCTATGGCTACAGGTTGGGATCCAATCAAAAGTATATCTTTATATAACATTGTGGTCCAATTGCCCTAGGCACCAACATGGGATATAGGGACCAAGACCCCTTAATTACAACCCTGAGAATTGGAACCTTGGCTATCTAGTTGGGGCTGGTCTATAGTGATGATTATTCATGTACAATTTCACCCTTGATACAGAAACTAAGTTTAGGGTGAAGAGAGCATACTGTTCTGGATGTAGTGCAGTTCCCTCACTCGGATACCACTCTTATCTTGGTACACCCATGATCTATGCAGATGCTTTCTGTATGAATAATGCTCACATTGGCCCCTCCACCTTCTCAGTGGAGGATTCTATCTACAAGTGGGAGAAGAGGTATGCATGTTTTGGAAGTTAACATTTTCCTAAATTGAAAATGTATTTCAAATAATACCTCCTTTTCACACTCTCCCTCCCTTCCTCCCCACTAAGATCCAGTGTTAGAGACTGGGATAGAGTCAGTCTCGAAAAAAAAGATAAAATTATCTGAATGAGGTGCTTATATACAGTACCAGGATAGAGGGCACATTGACAAAGGTGGAGAGTATCAAGAGACATACAACTCCAAGTGCAATTGAGTGTGGTAGAAAAGACTGGAAATAGCAAAAAAAAAATCAGACCAATGCTTAGATGGGCAAGGATCAAACCCTGGTGGTCGAGTAATAGCTACAAGTGTGAGAGGAGGTAAGCATTATTGGAAATATATTTTCAATTTAGGAAAATGTTAACATTTACTGTAGTGTTTCCTACATTTACTGGTAATATTCCTATAATCCACCACAGTGCTTTGTATGGTTTTAAAACAAATGCTGTCCTGTATTCTAATAGAAACTCACCAGAATGCCTGGATGTTGTGAATGTCTTTTACTCTAATGGATATTGGAATATCAGATGTTAGGGTTCTTCACCAGATATGTATCAACATGATTCAACTGAAAATAAAGAATCTCATGCACCATTATCATCCACACTGTTCTCTGTAAAAACTCTAGCTGACAAGCAAAATTTGTTAACATCATTTATTAAAAAAATATTTCAGAAGTATGAGGTTCATGAGTTTGTTATTTACATAGAATGCTGGAGAACTGGAGGACAAGTACAATAAAGCCGCTAAGAATTTAAATGAGAAAGCTAAAAAGAGTGGTGCTGCAAAAGAACGAGCAAAAAAGCTGAAGGAAAGAGCAAAAAAGTTGGCAGAAGAAGCAAACAGCAAGTTAAAAGAACTTCAAGGTATGGAGTCAGGGTAGTAAACTTCCTTGTCTATGAAGAATAATATTTATATAATGATGTTTTCAGTACAAATCCAAAACACAGAACATTTTGAAGAATGAATCATTCCACTGTAGTATCTATCATGTCTGTTGTTTTTCTTATAATTTATTTTTCACCGTTTATGAACACATACATAACTGAGTTAGACAACAAATTATACATTTTTTTAAATCTCAGAATGACTATTTTTCTTTTGTAAAATAATATTTGTCATGTTTCTGCAAAAAAGAATATTTAACATTATAATTGTAGAGAATAAAAGGGAATGATTATAACAAATTCTATAAAACTGACAGTAATGTTTCATTATTTTCTTTAATTTATACTTGGTAAAAAGAAACACTACTCTTTTTTTCTTAATAGAGTAAGATATATATGTTGTTAGATCAACAATTGGTTCTTTTTCCATTGGCCAGAAAGATAGGGTGCTTGTCTTGCAATGTGCAGGTTGTGGGATCAACTCCTGGTGACAAAAATGCTCGCTCTTTCAGCTGTTGAGGCATTATAATATGACAGTCAATTCTGCTGTTCGCTGGTAGCCCAAAAGCTGGAGGAGAATGCTAGTCACCTTTTCTGTGGTCAGCAGCTCAAAAAGCATATTTCAAAAACATGAATCCTGGTGTTATTTTAGTATTTTTATTGTATAGATTGAAAACCAGTTTTATAGAGTAACTTTTAGTAGTTTTTTCGCAGTAAATGATAAGTTTCACAAAAATGAATACAATTTGACTTAACCAGTTTTATTGAGTGAATTTCAGTTGGATTTTTTTTTTTTTAGCAATGGACGATGAGTTTCAGAAGAATGAATATAAGTTGACAGACTTTTCCAAGATCTTGGATGAGTTAAATGAACAGATGATGAACCACCTGACAAAAATTGATGAGAGATCTGCATTTTATCGTGATTGTCAGTTGTAAAGTATTTGCATTTCACTACAAGAATGCCTAAAAATCTGAATAATAAAGTTAATATTTCTGGGGAGTTTTTACTATCTATGCAGTGATGTATGCATACTATATCAGTGATAGTATTTGTCTTATTTGACATTTTTAACATTTAGTAAACTCGTTTTCAAATATTTAATATTTCTGAGACTAAAACACAATAATATGATTTATTAAAGTATCACATAGCATGCTTTATATGATAAACGTCTTTTCTAGAAATCAAGTTTTCACATTCGTCAGTAGTAGAAGTATACAAATATCTAAGCTAAGCTTATAATGAAGCTGATAAAAATGTTGACATACTGTGTTTAAGGTAGGCTTGACCAATAACAATATAAATTTTTCAGAAGGAACAACATTGTTAACTTCATAAGTTGGTGGTAATTTATAACAACATTTAGCTGGTAAGATGAACTGTCTAAAACTACATTGTTACCTTTATGACTTGGTGGTAAATTATAATAATGTTTAACTGGTAAGTTGAATTGTCCAAAACTACATTGTTACCTTTGTAACTTTGTGGTAAATTATTACAAACTTTAACTGGTAAACTGGATTGTCCAAAACTACATTGTTAACTGTATAACTTGATGATAAATTTTGATAACATTTAACATATAAAATGAATTGTCTAATACTGCATTGTTACCTTTATAACTTGGCGGTAAGTTATAACATCATTTAACTGATAAAATGAATTGTCCAAACTGCATTGTTACCTTTATAACATGGTGGTAAATTATAACAGCATTTAACTGATAAGATGAATTGTCTGAAACCACATTGTTACCTTTATAGCATGGTGGTAAATTATAACAGCATTTAACTGATAAGATGAATCGTCCAAAACCACATTGTTACCTTTATAACATGGTGGTAAATTATAACAGCATTTAACTGGTAAGATGAATTGTCTGAAACTGCATTGTTACCTTTATAACTCGGTGGTAAATTATAACAGCATTTAACTGGTAAGATGAATTGTCTGAAACTGCATTGTTACCTTTATAACTTGGTGGTAAATTATAGCATTTAACTGATAACCTCTGAAGCTGTATTGTTATCTGTATAACTTGACAGTAAATTTCAACAATGTATAACTGATATGGTGAATTTATTCAAAATGTGTTACTTAAGTTATTGTTATTAACAAAAGTTATTGTCAAATTAATCATGACAACACAAATTTTTGTGATCTGAGTTTCTGTGAACTTCTCTTGTTGGCCTTCATCAGCCTGAAATGTTCTCTTAAAAGAAACGACTGAAGATTAAGAAAATTGAAGATAAAGTCCATATGTTTAACACACTGCCCAAATTCACTTCTCAAAATTATTCTTAAAAGGGGGGGGGGGGTAGCATAAATCTAGCATTTTACTCACCGCCAACTCTGGGCTGTCTTTTCTCTAGTCTATCACTTCAAAATAAGGGAACGCTAGTCCAAATAGCCCTCGAATAGCTTTGATGATATAAAAAACAATAAACAAATTTATTCAAAAATATATACTCTGCATCTAGTGACATATTTTGCACTCTTACTTTTGCTTAAGAAGTAAAGTATAGTGAAAATATATTTAGTAACTGTAATTTACGTAAATATACATATATCACAAGGTTTTAAATAATTTAATAACTTCTTCATTATAGTATGATTATTTACGATAAAATAAAAATATTAACTTCATCTTAACCATGATGACTGTTTAAAGCACTGGGGTTCATTCTCTCTAGCTAACATTTTACCGTTTTACTAGAGGTAAATAATATATCTTAAGGTATTTTGGATTACTTGCTTGTTAACAGAATCATATCTTTGTAAGTGAATAAAACTTCATTGAATGAGTAAATAAATAATAAAAAAATATCTAGCCCAAAGTTTTCCACCAGTTCTTCATTATAAAAAAAAATCATCTTAAAAAGGCTTAGCGGTGGTTTGTTTATTAATTACGCACACCTCCAATAAAATACTCTCCAGTGTCAAATAGGTGCTGTGCCACAACACAGTTTGAATATTTTCATCTAACACTATAATTCCACAAATTTATGGATGATACGCCGAGATAGCAATGCTTCATTTTCATTACTTTCTTAAAAGTTGAATGATTATATTTAAAAAAAAAACAAAAAAAAAAACGAATAACTAAAGCAAATGACATATTTCTGTTTGCTTCCAGGTAAAATGTTTCACAAAAATATCAGTATGTTTCTGTACCTATAACTACAAAATAAATAAAACAGGGGCTTAAGTTAGTATATTATTGAATAATATCGCTTAGTAATGAAACTATATGCAACACAAGTAAAGTATTGCCAGTAATTACAACTCAGTACTCATTTTTAGACAAAGAAGGAAGCACTTTTCTTCAGAAAACAGTGATTTTGATAACCATTTGCAGCGAATGAAGTGTTTTAAGAGAACTTAAATACTTTTTCTAACTATGGGGGGGGGGGGAAACATGTCAGAAGCAGTAGAAGTGAATCTTTTGTAAAATAACGAAATAGAATGCTTGATAGCGAAATATTAAGAAAGTGAAATACAACATAACTAAAGAATTATCCTCATTTTAAGTGACTTTAATAATTAATATCAGCATTTTCCTAGTGTAGACAGTACAATTAGATATTCACATACAGCAACTGTCACGAATATAAAGACCGGTAAATTTTCTACATTATTTATGTTTTAGACGAGAATAATATTTAAATATAATTTTAATGATATGTCTTTTTGTGTTAAAAAATCGTCAAAATCGGTAGTCACGTGACCCTGGTAACACGTCATGATATTATTGAAGGATCGGGGAACATCACGAATAATCCAGTATGTGCTAGGCGCCCTCTATTTCTGTATATAAGTGCGCCTGTTAACGTGGGACTAATTAAATGGAATTGAATTGCAGAGATAGAGACGGACAATTGAGTCAAGCGCGTGAATCGTGCGTTGTGAATTATAGCGTTTGTTTAAGTTATAGCGTGACTGTGGAAATTGAGTGCATTGCAAAGTTGTATTGAGAAAGAATAAACTAGTTTTATTTAAGAAAGGACTTGTATCGCTAAAGTTTCTTCGGAAAGATTTTTTACGGAAAATTAACAAATGAACACAGAGGTGTAACAAATTGGTGTCAGAGAGTGAGATGGAAAAGAAAAAAAAAATGGAAACGAGAAGTGGCAAATCAAACTACAGCTTTGCAGATTTGATGGCAGCAATACAAGAACAAGAAGAGAGACACCAGCAGTTGCAAGAAAACCTGCAACAATGGCAGCTCGAACAGCAAAATAAACAAGAGAGATTACAGCAGCTGTTGGAGGAAAAAGAAAAGAAACAAGAACAACGAGAAAATGATCAAGAAGAGAAACTACAGCAGTGGCTGGAGGAGAAATAAAATAAACAAGAAGAAAGTCTCCAACAGT